GCCTGGGTTATAAAATCATTGGGGGAAAAGAAAGTCTTACTTCTAACTCAGATTTTCTTCTCTTCTGCTCAACGTACAGCAAGACATATTTTGCTATTTATATTAAAAACATGGCTTAGCTCATTGATGAGGCATTTCTTCAGTTCCCAAGCTCCTGGAATAATGTATTTATAGGTCTGTGTGCTGTCAGATATCATAACAGTATGATAGCAAGATCAATACAAAATTTTCACATTAATGCTTCCATAAAGGAATATTTTAAAACTATAACTAATAACTAAAATCTAAAACAATCAACATAAAATAGTAATAATAAAATCAAACAGAATAAGACCAAGGAAATGAACATTTTTATTGGTTTTCCCTATTACAGTATTGGCTAATACAGTGTTGCCCAACAGGACTTTCTGCAGAGAAATGCTGTATAATTTGAAGTGTTTGATAGACTAGCCACTGTCACATGTAGCTGTGAAACCTTAAAAGGTAGCTAGCGCAACTATGGCATGACATTTTCAATTTTATTTAATTTTCAAATTAATTTGAATTTAAATTTAATTAGCCACATGTGGCTACTTATAATATATTAGATAGTGCAGATCCACAAAACCCTGTCTGTGAATTCCTTTCCAACGAAGATACTAAATGCCACTTCTATTTTAGAATATTTGTGACATTTTCCATGTAATAAAATTTGAGTTATTTCCCACAATTTTTCTTGAGAAGAATCATTTAAAATACAAATGCAGCCTCCATATTTAGAACTTTTTGCTTCATGTTGCTAAGTTGGGGAATTCATCATTTCATCCAACAAGCATGTTTCTCTTTATTCCTAGTTCTTTTAGGCTCATCTATCCAACCTATCTTCCTGGTATTCAAGAGAAATAAATAAACAGATGTCCACAGAGTGGCTTCAGGCAGACAAATGTTAAAAACAACCTCAAACCATCGTAAAATACCAATGGATAGTCAATAACAAATGAGCCTTTTTTGAAGAACTATAGCAAGTGACAAAAGCAATTTAAATCTTATCATGGCTTAAAAACAAAACAAAAGAAAAAAGCTGTTCAAACTCCACCTTAGCAACTGCTCGTCTTGCTCATACTAAAAACTACCCCAAATCTGGAAAGATACAGATGTGTTTCGGCACTCATTAGACTTCAGCTCACAATTAACGCTGCCAGACTCCTTCCTAATCAATTATTCGTTAAGATGTCTAGCATTATTTCGGTGCCCTTTACCTCCACATCACAATGATTTAAGGGATGACATGTGCGCGTGTACTTTTCAGAATAAAAGGAGGACTTTAAGCAGGGTTTAGCACTAAATGAGAACAAGGGTAAGAGACGGGAAACAGTCAAAGTTTAGCTTCCGGCGAGCTTCAGGCAGTGCACAGCATGAGAGGATCTGGCTCCAGAAAGGGCCCATGTGTTGACAGCTGAGAAAGGGTTTGAAGGGTTAACGCTACAAACACTCTGTCAATGGTACTGCATGGGAGCTTTCCTGAAGCAGAACGGTTAAAACTCTCCAAAGCTGCTGACGACAGAACAGATCACGAGAAATTAACCCACTTTAGGCTTTGACACTAAATTAGCGTTATTATTTTTACAACGGTAGTAACCCTGCATTGGCTTGATTATGTGAAGAAAACAAAGAATCATTCTATACAATCTAAAATTTTAAAGGAGGACGAGTGAAAAACTATAAAAGACTACAGTATGTGTCCCTTCCTCCCGCAATAAACCCATAAGATACTAAATCAGAATTGCATGACACAGTTTTGTTAAGAATTTATTCAACTTATATCACAGTTGAAAGTTCTACAAATAGTTTCCCAAAAAGCATAAACATAAGTAAACTGGAAACAGTAAGATTTAGCTTCTACCAGTATCTAGAGCCACATGTAAAAATTGAGATACTGTAGTCACAAAAGTGCTTCCAATGTTAACATTCAGGGTTTGTGAATTTTAAAGCATTTGAAGTATCTCAGTTGTAATTAAGTAATGTTATCTTGCTCCAGAATAGTGTTTGTTTGCTCTTGAATACCAGCAGCACCTATCAGGATCCTGCTACTTATCAGTCTGTCTTCCACTATAACTCATTAGTCAATATTATTAGCCACAAAATGAGAGCAAGGTACTGAGGACAGGGACAACATGTCTCCTACATTCCTTCAGCAGGTAGAGCACACAATGGGCATGGAAATCCTGGACTCAGATCTTGTCCTATCATGATCCTGGGCAAGTAATCTTATCTCCCTGGGCTGTAGTTTCCTAAGTAAACCTGTAATGGCCAACAGTTCCTCTACTGTTTAATGTTACTGTGAGGCTTAAAAAAAGTTATAGGTGCTAACTGCATACTACAGTACTTGGCACTTATTAAACGTTCAAAAAGTACTGATTAACACTAGTAGTATTGTCTTTATGAACCAAACAGAACAGTTTCATTTTTAAACAGTTGAGGTCAAAGAAAATACAGAGAAGAAAATAAGGAGATAAAGGAAATGAATGGGGTGATCTTCCTTTGAATATGTTTTTAGTGGCAATATTGGTAGGCAAATTCTACCATCAGAAACTATGTTTCTATGAACTTTCTCCTTGTGATCCATATAACATGAGGGCTGTACAGCAGACAGCCTTATTCCGAAGGCCTGGTTACTGATAGAACATAAAATGAGTAATGTTAGGGGGCATTATCTTTGTTATTACAGGGAATGATTTATTCCCTAACATAGCTCTGCAATCCTAATATTAACATATGTTGCAGCAATCAATCACATTCAATTTTGACTTTCAAATCTTTGTGAAACATCAAAGGATACTGCTAAGCATACAGTGTAATTGTAGAGGCTGCTGACGTGGACAATACTCCCCTTAGTGGGCCAAAACAGCTAAGTCAGCAGTACTGAGTCTGACAATGAAGAAAAAAACTGGAATTCTGAAGAAAAAGTTAACCCAACCATTTAAACAAGATAAAACACACTAAAAATAATTTGCAAAACAATTTTCCTCATGCACTTAATAAATATGTGTCAGAATAAACAAAAATCACATGAGCTGAAGGTAAAAAAATCAATTAAAATAAAGTCACAGAACATGGTAGAGAATTACTTCTGGCAGTTATTTGATATAATGTGGTTAATAATTCTAGTCAGTCAAATTAACACAATTTTGCTACTGTAGGTTTACAGTCACAAAATGCAGGCTCCCAAGGAGGTTGCTCTAAGAACCAGAGAAACAGAGTGACTTTCAGCTTAGTACAACTTGACCATTCTCTTCTGATTACAAGTAACAAAAAAATAAATCATAGGGCCAGGGAATTAGCTCAGTGGTTCTGCCACCTGCCTTGCAAGCGCAAGGACCAAAGTTTGATCGCCAGTACAGAAAAAAAAAAAAAAGAAAAAAGAAAAAGAAAGAAAGAAATCCTACTTCAGAAAAAAATGAAATTAATTTTCTGTGCATTGATATTTGGCCATTGTTTCTCCCTTGACTTCTTCCTCAAAGTCCAAACAAGTCCTTTTATTGCTCCATTTGTACAAGCAGATGTGCTTTTGTTCCTTATTGGACTGCCTGTTTATATCATGTGTTTTCCGCCATTTCATTGATTGAAAGAAGCTCAAGCAAGTTAGTGTCTGCTTATATTCCTAAAGGGAGCCCCCCAAGCAAACTGGTGAGGCACTTGAGGTCAGACCGGAATCGTCAGTGTTTCTGTTAAACTGCAGGGCACAAAGAAAAAAATGCCAGATACTCAACATGCAAAACCAATATCAATATTCAAACTTTCTTATTTTTATCTTAGAGTTCAGAGGCACTCAAAGTAGAGGAAATCTTGGCTTTATAAAAATAAAAATTATTTTGAAATACTCTCTCACTCTCTCTGCCTTCATCTTACTCCCTTTGTCTCTTACTAATCTCTCCAGTGTTCACTCAAGAAAGGAGAGAGAAGAGAGAGAGAGAGAGAGAGAGAGAGAGAGAGAGGGAACAAATGAACCTAAGACATAGTCATTAAATCACATCATGGCCAGAGAGGTACTATATAGTAAATAACCTAAGAGGTGAATTTGGCATGTTCTGATAATTTGAGAAATAATCTGTACATTCTGAAGAAAGAAAAAGTAAAGTTAAATACAGTTGGTGAGTGTGCATTTAATAACACTTTAAGAATTCTCTAGATCTGCTTTATGCAAGAAACTCAGAATTCATTCATGAAAAACTTTCCATAGCACTTTTCTGGAACTATGCTTTCAAAAATGAATATTGATCTTGCCTTTAGGGAATCCTAATTCAGTGTGTGTGGTTTTTTTTCATTTTTAATGTTTTTATTTTTCAGTACATGTTTGCAGAGCATATTGGTTACATTTTTTGTGGGGAATTGGTACATATATATAATATATCTTAATTTTCTTTTTCATCCCTTATCCCACCCATTCCTATCCGCTCCTTCCAACTCTTGATTGAAAGAAGCCTCTACACAGCCTTCAGAGTCTCTCTCCTGTATAATTTTAGGCCACGCTTTCTTCCAGGCAGATCTCAGTGTCTTCAGAGAGACACTGGCCCAGGATCTCTCAATTAACCACATATATGAAAGACTCTCATCAGTCATAACCCAAGACTTTGTTCTAAAAATTAAAACTAAAATTCCAGTCATAATCCAAGCTGTTCATATGTGAAGCCAGTTGTAACTCGAGGGTCCACTGCAATTTTTTGAGTTTCTCATTTAAATACCACATTGTTTCTCTTCTATGAGAAACTCATAATTCAGATGTGTGCTATAACATGAACAAGTCACAGGGCAGAACAATGTGTTACAAGGTAAAGAGCTTGGTAGTTAGACAGACTAATGTCCAAATCTGCTTTTGCCGCACGTTGAGGGACAGTGTGAAAAGGTATTCACCCTCTTGTACTCATTTTACCCACATATAACACTGACATAATATTATTTACCTTACAGGGTGCCCTTGGTAGATAGTTAAAAAATATTAGTTTTGTTTCCCCTTTGTACAGAAAGTCAAGAACAAAATAATGAAATTGGAACCAAAGAAAGGGCTGAAGACAATCTTTGTGGAACAAGTAAACCTCAGTGGAAAGGAATGGGAACGAAAGGGTTCTTAGTAAAGGGAGCAACTTGAGAAAAGACCCGGAGCTGTAAGAACACAGCATGTTTACAGGTAGAAGAGCGAAATGGCCGAGAGGATCTGCTACAGTTCATTTACCTGACAGAATCGCTGCTCTGCTGTTGCCCAGAGCTTACCTGGCACAGGTAACCCATCTACTTTGTGCTTCATCTTATTGACATGTTTTGTGCAGGTAACAGTACTAAATTAGAGGTTGTACTGAGGATTAAAAGAGGTTTTATATATATAAAAAACAGAGCTTCATTCATAATAGGTATTTTTGCTACCATTAATAGAGACATATTAGTAGAGAAGGGAGATAGTTGAGGGTAGTGGCTCAAGCATAAGGAAATGCAGTAAGTAATATTTCTCATTCTACCATTTGACTCCCAGGCATTTTATCACTTAATACTCTGGAAGCAGAGTATGGAAGAATATTTTAGGAGTATACACATTTTTTCTATCTATCTATCTATCTATCTATCTATCTATCTATCTATCTATCTTCATTCTGGTCCAGTGGTTCCTAAATCTGGCTATACTTCAGAATTCCTTGGAGAATCTGATTAAAACCAAAACCCAAAAACAAACAAATAAAACACAGGGCCTCTTAATCATAAATTTAGATTCTTACTCAATAAATTTAAAGTGGTGACGAGGAAACTGCGTTTTTATAAAAGCTCTCCAGGTGATTCTGAAGAACAGCCACATTAGGAGATCTGCAGTCAAGTCTACTCAGAAGCTAAAGTCAGAATGTTTCACTGACCACTGAATAAAATAACATATACACAGATTCATACAATCACTAGCCTCCCTTTTAGCCTTGATCCTCTAAAAGTACTCTGATTCACTCCTACAAGGCATTAATAGCATTACATATTTTGCATTAACAGGATTACATATTTCTCCTTAAAAAAATTACTGAAATATTTTGAAAGGATGATGGCCTGATGGAGCAGGGAACAACAGAGCAGCAAAGTAAAGCTTCATCAAACATTAGAAAATACTTCTTTTGGGTTAATATTACACATTGCCATAATAGTAAATAGCAGTTACACCATTATTTACTATATTCTCAGCTTCAATTAGCTATGTAAATTATGAGATGAGAAATCTTCTAATTCATCTAGATCACAGCATTCTTACTAGGAAGGACCAAATTCTTATTTGTCAGAATCTGTTCTTTCAGTAGGTCTGTTTAAAAGAATATCTATCACCATAACAGAGAGTCCTATTGCTTCAAAATATAACAGTTTATTTCATTAAAATCATTTATGGGTCTTAGTAGACCCAAGGCTTTGTTGGACAGTGTAATATAGGAATATCTAACCAGAGAAGAGGAGCATTTTAAAATGTTTTTTTCTTTTCTTTCTTCTTTTGCAGCCCTGTGGGTGGAACCCGGGGCTTTGTATGTGTTAGGAAGGCATTCTACCACTGAATTACATCCCCAGCTCAAAGGAAGAACATTGTACAGCGAAAGGCTGATTAGACATGCAAATAAACATCTGTGACACTATAATACAAAAATATTCTCACGTGATTTACAAATAAATACAAAGTCAGGGCAAGATACAAATACTGTACAAAGGCTGGCAAAGTAAACACAAAGACAAAGCCAAGAAGTGCCATGGTAAGTTTGAAACTAACCCTGAGAGGAATGAGAAGCTACTGAGAGGCTTGAGGGGTGAAATATCCATTATCAAATGCTTTGCAACAGTACAGATGATCCTTGGCTTACACTGGGGTTATTTCCTGATAAACCCATCCTACGCTGAAAATGTCATTACATAAAAATGCACTGACTTCATCTATCCTATGGAACATCACAGCTTAGCAACATAGTAGTTTCCTCTCATGATCTCACAGCCGACAGGGAGCTGCATCTCACTGCTGCTGCTCAGGATTCCAAGAGTGCCACACAGCACCATCACTGGCCTAGGAAAAGATACAAATTCAAAGCAGTTTCTACCAAATGGCACTGCTCTCGTATCACTGTACAGTCAAAAACGCTGAAAATGAACCACAGTGAGTCAGCGACAACTTATAGTTTTCAGCCTTCAGCAAACATTACAATCACCTTGGGAGACTTTTAAAAAATGACACCATCCAAGATCCTCACACCAGGATCCTAATTTAATTGGCCTGGAGTGGGGCCAACATATCAGCAAGAATTGTTGTTTTTGTTGTTTTAGTTCACGTTAATATTACACAATGATGCAGTTTATTTGGGAAAGTTGGTAAATGCATTTCACATATCTTAAGCAATATGAATCCCCTTACACTCTCTTTTCTTTCCTTACACCTCACCCTTGTCCCTTTCCCATCTTCAAAAGTCTACCTCTTGTCCTCTCTCCTCTCATTACTTATTTACAACAGTTTCCTCTAAAAAGCATGATTTCACTCTCTTTATAGCATATCGGCATGTTCCTAAAAACCACCCACATTATTTTAACATACAACCAACATTTTATGTTACAAGTTGTTCAGACTGGAAGCCAAGTCACCAGCAAGCCTAAGAGAAATGCTGGCTAAAAGAGCATCCTGGTAGTGAAAATGGATAAATGTGGATAAATTCGACAGATACTCAGATGGTAAAATCAATAGTATGTACTAATGTATTACCTGTGGAAAGTGAAGGAAATATACAAAACAAAAATTACCATAAGCTTCTTCCTAGGAAAATGGGCAAACAGTGCTTCTATTCATTGGCCTCAGATTCTGACAGACCTGGTTTGGATCTGGCTTCTCTATTTTCTATTTTGAAATTTTGAGAAAATTATTTTATGAACTCTGAGTCCCACGCAAAATGGAGACCATAACATTTACTTCAGAGGGATGTTGTAGGCATTATATGGGATAAATCTACTGAAGGACCCAGCACAGTGACTGTTACATCTTCCATCTTACCATACTACTCTGCAGATAGTTGTTATAAAAAGTAGGGCACAGTAGTTCAGATTCCTGAAGTAACTAAATGTTTCAAGGCATGACATCATTTTAATGTAGTGCTTAACAAATACTATAAGTCATACATTTCACATGATGCAAGACCTTCAAAAAGATGCCTTGGATGTTGGAAAACGGTGTGCTATCATTTCTAGAGACACAGATTCAGAGAAACCATCTGACTCTAAATTGTTGTTATATCAAAAACAAATAGTAAAGATAGAAGCTTGATAGTGAAAGACAGATTTTAGGAAAAGTAAGGCTGTGGCCTTTTGCCTTTGTATTTGCTGTTCCCATTGCCTGGAATGTTCTTCTGCAGAAATCCTTGTGATTAACTCCCTCACGCTTCTCATGGCTTTTTTTGTTGCTCCTAAATGAGGTCAACTTATACACCTGACTTAAACTGCAGCCTCTTTACCACCACCCTGCACATCTACCTCTCCCTTTAACAACTACAACTTCTAACTTAACTTTTTCTTTCTGTTACTGTTTTTTTTTTTTACTATTTATATCCTTTTAATAAGCTGTATTTAATTTGCTTATTTACTTTGCTCATTGTCTCTCTTTTCCTAATGGGATGTTGGAAAGGTTAAGAAAAACTCAAGTGTGTTTCTTTCTCTCCCTCAACACAATACTTTTGATATCAGAGGTGTGGGATTTTTTTTTTTTTCTCCAAATACCAAGTGCTTCTCCAGCGGACACCAACTGGATGTCTGCTAATTCAATCCTGACACCAAATACCTGGAGAAAGTGGTAGGTCCTGCCAGCTGAGGGCACAGTCTCAGGAAACTGTCCTCCATTTCAGATGCTAATTCCAAGTCCCTGTTGGTGACCTGTAGTTATGACCTCCTGGCTACGAATGAAGATGTCCATGACCCCTCCTTAGGTTTGGTCAATTTGCTGGATCACCTCACAAAACTCAGGGAAATACTTTTTTATGCATTTACTATAATGGATATTAGAATAGCTATAAATAAACAGGCAGAGGGAGAGAGACACTGAGTGAGATACAGGAGAAGGGTTGTAGAGATTCCAGACCTCTCCAGGTGTGCCAACTTCCAGAAACTTCTGTGTGCTTAGCTATCCAGAATTTTTCTGAACCTTGTCTTTCTGGCTTTTTATGGAGGCTCAATTACACAGGCAGGACTGATTACATCACTGACCATTGGTGACCAACTCAACCTTATGCCTCTCTCCCCATTCTGGAAGTCTAGGGGTAGGGATCAAAGTCCCAACCCTCTAATAACAGGGTTGGTTCCCATGGCAACCAGCTCTCATCCTGAGGCTACGCAGTACACTACCCAGGAGTGACTTCATGAAGACAAAAGATGCTCCTATCACCTAGGAGATTACAAAGGTCTCAGTTCTATTCAGAAACGCCAGGAGAAAGACTAAACATTAAAACAAAAGATTCTCCTAGAGCCCCTATTTACATAGGTTTTAGGAGCTCTGTGCCAGAAATCAGGGCAGAGTCAAAATACATATTTCTTATTATATCACAATATCAAAAGTGTAAATTCCACAATGGTAGAGATTTGAGGCTGTATTATTAACCTGTGTAACCCATGGATCTAGAACAGCACCTGATGCAAGGCAGATATGACAGATATCTACTGAACAACAAAAGACTTCAAAATTGCCAACAAAACTCAACATTTTTAGGTTTTCATGTCAGTATAAGTCAAGACTGCTGCTAATATAAAAACCAAGTTGTAAAATTTGATTTATTAAAAAACAAAGAGATAAGTGAGGGGGTTGTTGAAACCCCAAATTCTTGTTCACTAGTACTAATCAATGCTCTCTCTTTATTCTTACAGCATTTATGCAAGGGCTGAGTATGTGTTTTGGAGGGAAAAGACTGGCTTTGGAAACATACTTGGAGAGGAAGGCATGATCTACAATGAGAACAAAGGTTAGCATTTAGGAGTCTGCTATATTGGTTTTAAGCATGTAGTTATGTTTCCTTACACCAAAAGGGGCGTGAATCCACTTATCAGTAATTTATCAGGGATTTGCTTATCCATAGAGAAGATTATAATAATCTCTCTGTCTCTTTGTCTGTATGTTCGTCTCTATTTCTTTCTCCCTTAGAAAACATAGGGGAATGATGTTAATAGTCTGGTCTCTAATAAAAACATAATTCACAATACAGCTCTTTTTTCCTAATCCACAGAAACTGTGACTCACATAGATAATGCTTTCCTTTTGATCAAGCCATAGTTGCCTTGCCCAAAACAGCACAATCAACCAATATCACCAGGGCACCAAGACAGCCTAGGCTTGAATAACTTAATGAATTTCCAGAGAATAAATTAACTTACTTTGTAATGGTATGCCTGTGTCAGAGAGAACCTGAAAGAAGGAAAGGTGTTTAAGCTATTACATTTTTCATGGATGTCATAACGTGTGTCTTCTAGTCTAAAGATTTTGAGAAGAATAACAAACAAAGCTTAGACAATTAGAGAACGCAGATGAAGAAAGAGAAAAAGCCAAAGCAACTTAACCTACAGTTGTTCAACAAAGCAGTGCTGACTGATTGATATTTGGGTTTGTAATGTAATCACACAGAGTCTACTGTACCTAACTTCCTGCATCTCCTATTTCAGCCTCATCCTTGGCCACTTAAAGCCCAATGGGAAAGCTGATGGTGGAAGATCAGATAATCTGCCTATCACAATTGGGTATTATAAAAGTCCAGTAGGCCACCTGAGCCCCCATAATATACTCTGTCCAGGCCCACAGACAGGGCTTTTCAGGCTATTGTCCCAAGCCCAGAGGCATCATGGAGGCTTACAATTAAAAGGCTTTGACCCAAATTCTGACCTCAGTGTCCGCTTCCTGGGGAGTGTCTGAACTGGCCTAACAGAATTGCAGACTTATGAATATAGTCAAATCGCTTTTATTCTACCTTCTAGCTCACAATACTATTAGGGTCTCATTTGTTCAGTTATGTGCTGGCCTAGTATCTCAAAACAGTTCACTTTGATCTGTTTTATAGAGGGTGAAGTTGGTCTCAGCAATTATCCCTTACTCCCATCAAAAGTGATAATCTTTAACACATGTATATATGCACTGGCAGCTCTGGCTCTATGCTTCATTGATAAGTACATCTTTTATTGACGTGGATTCGTTAGGAGCATCAGTAAGATCAGCAATGTACACAGGTCTTGAGAAACAGGACCTCCAATGAAAAAGTACTGGTTATCTTAAGAGTGTAATTGCTGCTGATGGTAGGATAAGCAAACAGTATATTCAAAATTAAGACAGTGGGTCTAAAATGAGACAAATATGTTTTTCTGATTTAACTGCCTTAGAAAGCTGCCTGAACAACTGAGGAAAACAGAAAAGTAAGAAAGAAGCTTCTCTGAATAGAAAATGACAACATTCAGTTGAAAAGAAATTGTTAAACAGGGAATGTCAATACTAGCAATTAAAGACTTTGTTCAAATCAATGTATATCTTTGTGTGTTTGTGTGCATGTGTGCGTGTGTGGGGGGGTTCCCTCCACCTCTAGCAGCGGAGACCTAACCCAGGCCTCATGCATGCTAGGCAAATGCCTTAGTGCTAGCTACCTCCTCCGCCATTATTTTTAGACAGGATTTTACTAAATTGCCCAACCTGGCCTCAAATTTGTGATCCCTCCACATCAGCCTCCCAAGTTACCTGGGATTATAGGCATATGCCATTGTGTCCAGATCTTCCTGTATTTGTTTGTGATTCTATCCAAAGAGCATGGCAATAAATATATCTACTCTTTCACTGAGTACTGAATCTGATCCATTACTTCTAGTTCAGGGGTACAAAATTCTCGAGAGCCTAAAGAATGTTCCCTGCTCTTGTTATGATATACAGTTCAGAGTTCATTCTGTGATTTGTATTGTACAAATACCTGCTTGTGAAATAAATTATGTGTGCATTATATGTTTGGGTGCAAGATTATGAAGAATATGAATAACAAACAAGAAAGAGCTAACCTCCTACCTCCTTAGAAAGCATTTTGAGCAAAATTTGATAGCCACAGGGAAGTAAGCTACTAAAAGGTTTGAGTTTCAGATAGAAGTATAGAACAAGAGGTACTAGTAGGCAAATGAAATTCTGTTTAAAACCAGGTATATTTTTAGTTTTAATATCTCCAGATCAATATACAAACCTATCAAGAAAAAAAAATAAGAGAAAAGAAAAAACTCCATAATTTGAGTATAATTTCCAGAGAAGGCACATAGATTGCCTGAATTAATCAAGCAGTCATGAATCAAGCAATACTATGGCTATAGGCTTGTGATATTATATTAAATTTACTTGCAAACAGATGATTCATAATTTTTGGGAAAGCACAGAGTTCTTCCCTATAACTGTCATCAACATATAAAATATATTTAGGTTATGTGTTTTACTTTTTTCAAACCAGAGACATCTTGTCAGCATTTCTTTTTAGTTTTAAAAGGAATGAAAGTCAATTCACCATATATACTTAATTTCAGTTCAACAAATGTTCTATGACCACTTATTATATATGAGTAATTAAATTTAATTATTGCCAAAGGTCCCAGAAATGACTGTATCACAATTTACAATGTAGAATATATATATTCTGAAATGGATCCATTTGATTCCTATTTATAATTATATTACTACACACAAAAACATATAAACTGGTACCGCTATATTATTATATCATAGTTTTTTCCCTTCTAGTCTTCCTTTTTTTTTTTTTTGTAGGTGTTCAAA